TTGATCAAGAGGAGGCACTTTTACCCCTGGGGGTACTATCATTTGGCCATCTTTTACAAGTAAGTCAAAGATTTCATCACATTTTGTAATATCAAAACTGTAAGTCTTTTTGGGGAACCTATCGTTGGCCCTTTCCGGACCAGTGGGATTTTTTCCACTTGAGGGGACTAGCAGTTTGCAAGAGTATGGTGGCCCTTATTTTAGTTCCGCTAAATCGACCTTGCTTTCTTCGACGGTTATAGTTTCGTCGAAGGTTTCTGGATCTTCATCATCCATTTCGACATATGCTATCCTCTCTCTTTTATGAGTTTTTGTCGCCTTGGCTTTTTCAGCCTTAAGGCGTTCTACCTGTCGAACTCTATCGGCCAATTGGGCCATGTCTCTCAGGTATTGAGTGTCTAATTTCTTCCTAATGGAATAATCTAAGCCCCCTGCGGCTATTTCGACTAACTCATGTTCTGGCACTTGCGTAAAGCATCTTGCTTTGAGCAACCTAAACCTATTTAGATATTCGTCTATAGGTTCAGTGAAATGTCTCTTTACACTGGCCAATTCTTTCAGGCTTATCTTGGTTTGTCCCATGTAGAATTGCTCATGGAACATTCTCTCCAACTGGGTCCAATGATGGATCGAATTGGGGGGGGGGGGGGGGGGAGAGTTATGAACCAAGTAAACGCGTTCTTTGTTAAAGAACTTGGGAAATACTTAATCCTCAGGTTTTCGTTGTTTGAAATATCTCCTGCTTCAATCAAGTATCTCGCCACATGTTCGACAGTAGATTCTGTCGTGTCCCCTGAAAATTTAGTGAACTTAGGGACTTTACATCTAGGAGGTAAGTCTGTTTGTAACACATATTCTGACAGTGGGGATGTGAAGTTGGGCCTACGAAAGCCCATATTCATCCCATTTTGCGTCATGATTCTTTCGATCATGGCTGCCAGGTTATTTTCCAAACCCATGTTCTGATATTGGATGTGCTGAACTACTTCGTCAGCATTTTGGTTTCTGTTGACTATCCTTACCTCTGGGGCTATGACCCTAGGTTCTTCGACCCCGGGTTGCTCCAATCGCGCCCTAAGGTTTTCTTCGACAGGCTGCTGGACTTGGTTAATAGTGGTTTCTTCCTCTAGAAGTATACCTTGGTTTCCCCTTATTTGCGCCCTTTGGGGCTGTCGAATAGGTTGGGGTACCCCAAAGAAATCAGCCAGACGCGTCATTTGCGCTGTCATCTGCTGATTCGACTGGGTGGTGTTTTGTATTAGAGGATACAGCACTGTACTTAAAGTTTGTGCCAACATTTGAACCATATCGTGGTTGCTTTCGTCCATTTGTTGCCTCAAGACTGCTGTCGAGGCATTTGTAAGGCCATGCGCTACTTGGGACGTTCCTCCTAAGAGTTGGGTCCTATTTCTGTTCGCCATACCAACTCCAGAACCTTGGAGTGGCGAAGAGGCACTCACTAAAGGGTCTGAAAAAGTGGACGCAGCGTTCGTCAGGCTAGCCAATTCAGACGTTGGCATGCCATAGAGTGGTTCTCGATTTGGACCGCCTGTCATAAATCCTGGGGGAACATAAGGCCTAGTTCCTGGATTTCCCCTTGGTGGGGGAGTTCCCAAAGGCACTCTAGGGCCAGTGAACAGAGGTAATGGCCCCGTTTGTGTGACCGTTACTGCTGGTGTTGAACCATCGGTTATCGCTTCACTTACGGTTGGGATAACCGTTGTTCCCACATTTGTTTGTGGGATTTCGCTATTGTTTGGCGGATTCGCCATCGCTTCTCTTCTTCTGGCAGTATTGGTATTGTTAGTGTATATTCTACCACTTCTCAATAACATGCAATACTTCTCGAAAAAGATGATATTCTGTATAAATACGGCTAACCTTCAAAATCAACACAAGGTCCCACCGGGTGTGCCAATTTGTTTACCGTGGAAATTGGTAAACAACCGCTGATCCTCCAAAAGGTTACTTATTTGGTGACTCGCAGGATCGATCAGATTGATCCTAAGACATGGTTGATTTTTGGGGTTTTGATTAAGTTTAATGATGGTTAATGATAAGAAAAATAAAGACACTTTATGTAAATTGCATGAAGAAAACTTGGTAGAATGAAAGAAAGCTTTAAATAAAGGCTTCGACTGGGAAAAGCAAATGAAAGGCAATAAAGTTCTGGAAAATAAATAACTTTGATTAATTTAAATGGTGTTTCACACATACATTCTCAACAATTCTTTCGCTCACACTGGGTACTTGAATCTAAATGAGTGACTTGTATATAATTGTGAACACACGCGAAAAACCACGTGAACAACTAATATTTATACTAAACACATCTCAAGTAACCGTCGGGCGGTTACGCTGCTTCGAGATGACTCCACTTGGCATGCTCACAGCATTCGGCGCTCCTGATCTTGGCACGTTGCACTTGGTAACCGCTGGGAACCGTTTTCCCTCCAAACATTTGAATCTCAAACCGTTCCACTCTGAGCATCGAATACCTTTGTCGAGAAGCACCTTCGACGTCGAAGGCAACAAAATTCCTACTTAGAAGAAATTCTCTAAGTACCTTGCCATCTTCTGATGAGCATTTCGACAGAATCAGCTGGTCGAAACCATCCCTCATGATTAATGGTTTATATTAATAAAAACAAGGGTGTCAAATTTAGGTGCTGATGATCCAGAATCTGGTGGTGATCATAGTTCTGGAAGGGGAAACTCCGAAGGTGGTAACTCTGAAGGTAGTAGTTCTGGTACAACTTCAGAACAAGCTCAAAGACCACAGAGAATCAGACAAAAACCAAGAAGGTTTGCAGATTTTGACATGTTGCAGGATAATGAAGTTGACTCTAAAGGAGAAGTCGTTCAGTGTGCCATGTTAATAGATTTTGAACCAGTGGACATTGATGAAGCTCTCGAGAAGAAAGAATGACTGAATGCCATGAAATAAGAACTTGAGGAAATAGAAAGGAACAAAACATGGAAATTGACTAAACTTCCAGATAAGAAAAAAGCCATCAGCGTCAGATGGGTTTTTAAATTGAAACTTAAGTCAGATGGTTCAATTGGCAAGCACAAAGCTAGACTAGTAGCTAGAGGTTTTCTTCAGAAACCTGGGCTAGATTACTTTGAGGTGTTTGCGCCTGTAGCTAGGCATGAAACAATCAGATTGGTGATTGCTTTAGCTGCAAATAGAAATTGGCCTTTGACGCATCTGGATGTGAAGTCTGCATTTCTGAATGGTCCATTACAGGAAGAAGTTTATGTGTCACAACCTCCTGGATTTGTGAAAAAGAATCAGGAAGGAATGGTATACAAGTTGAATAAAGCTCTGTATGGACTGAAGCAAGCGCCTAGAGCTTAGAATCTGAAAATTGATTCGTTTTTCAAGAAACAGAAGTTTCAGAAATGTGAGATGGAATATGGCGTTTATGTGCAACACTCTGATAACAATATGATTCCGCTGTGTCTCTATGTTGATGACATTTTGCTAACAGGTAGCTGCCCAGAAGATATAAAGAAGTTCAAAGAAGTTCTGATGAATGAGTTTGAGATGACAGATCTAGGAAAAATGACATATTTTTTAGGGATGAAGATTATGTACTCGAAGAAGGGTATCATTCTGTATCAGTTGAAGTACGAACTAGAACTTCTGAAAAGATTTAAGCTGCAGAATTGTAAAGTTGCTGTGACACCATCAGAAACCAATCAAAAATTGGATTCTGACTCTGATGGTGATTTTGTTGATACTACAACCTTTAAACAGTTGGTCGGTTCTCTAAGGTATTTATGCAATACTAGACTTGACATTTGTTATGCAGTTAGATTGATTAGCAGATTCATGAGTAATCCAAAGTGGTCTCATTTCCAAGCTGCTGTCAGAATTCTAAGATATATCAAAGGAACCCTGAAATATGGAGTATTGTTTCCTTCTGAAAGAAAGACATAACCAAAATTAGTAAGTTATTCTGATTCTGACTGGTGTGGAGACAAAGTGGACAATAGAAGTACTTATGGATATTTGTTTAAATTTCTGGGAGGTCCCATTTCCTGGAGCTCCAAGAAACAGCCCGTCGTAGCTCTATCAACATGTGAAGCTGAGTATATCGCAGGTGCTGTAGCTGCTTGTCAAGCTGTTTGGCTTCTGAATCTCTTATATGATCTGAAGGTTGAAGTTGAGGAACCTCTAAAGCTGATGATTGATAATAAGCCTGCAATTGATCTTGCCAAGAATCCAGTGCTACATGGAAGAAGCAAGCACATTGAGACGGAGTGTCATTTTCTCAGAAGTCAAGTGCAGAAAGTAGTGTTAGAAGTTCTGCACTGCAACACTCAGAAACAGTTAGCAGATCTTCTGACGAAGGCAATTAAGAAGGATCAATTTTTTCGCTTGAGAGATAAGATTGATATTGTTAACTTATGATAAAATATCTAAATTAAGGAATGGTATTGGAAATATAATTGAGTTAATATCTACAATTCTCAATGCTTATCTTTAATAAGATTTTTTAGCGTTTTCAATATTTAGTATAAATATGCTATACTACACTATCAATATTGTACCCAATTTTATCTCTTATATTTGATATATAATAATAGTCTTATTATCATTCTTGTTCATTATTCTTCTCCCACTTAATTACCTTGCACCAACAAAAATAAGAGAAAGTACCAATTAATTTTACGTCATCATTTAATAAAATTACAAGTTATACCATTCAACTATATTATATTAGTATTTAAAAATTAAAAATATAATTTACGAGATAGCGAGATTTGTCACCGTGTAAAAATACTTTGCAGTGTCATGCATACTCTTTTTCTTCAAAAATAATATAACAATAATTGTTTAACTTGTTGGAAATTAATTTAGGAGCACAAAATCTGAAAAACGACGTCGTAAGCGCATATAATCTAATCTAATCTAATCAGCATAGTCGTTCACATAGAAGTGGATAAGAGAGAAGAGGAGGCAGTTGTGTGAGAAACAGAAGGCGGAAAGAATGGACAAGTATTTCAGCTCTGCTTATCGCGGCGACCCAGGCGTTCCCCATGCCGACCCCCACCGTTTCGTCAACATTTGGATCGGATCCCTTGCCTTCACCGCCATGAACTGCATCAATCCCTACTTTTGGCACACCGGTTCCACCACCTTCAAGTATCACTCTCTTCTCTTTCTCTTTTCCATTCATTCATTTTCTTTAACTCAACACACTTGCTTTAATTTTAGGGTTTTCTCTTCACCCTGCATGATTTCGTGTTTAAACAGTTATTTAGGATTTTAATTAGCCTGAATCTACGTTTTCGTTCAATATGTAACTGCCTTAGTGTCTCTGATTTCTGATTAGGTTAATTGATTTCTGAATTTATTATACTTTTCAAAATTAGTTCTAACATTTGTAGCTTTTGTATAACCTGATATTTATATTGAAATTTTACTATTCAAGTCACTTTTGCAATTTTATTTTTTATACTAAAAACGTCATTCTTTTGTTAATTCAAATTGATAGAATACATCGAATAATACAAATTCAAAATCACTATAAATTGAAAAGGATGAATCTGTGAACAAACTCACAGCATCTATGTTAATAGCATATAACCGTAAAATGCCTATAAATGTGACAAAGCCTACAAATATCACGAAATTGAAATACTCGGAATACCCATGTCTCCGAGTCTGCAGTGTTGAGGACGTCAACTCACCAATAAATATGCAGCGAGTCGAAACTAATTTGTCAATCTAAATCGAACAAACACCGTACTAAAGACGAAAAAACCAAATAACGCTGCAATAACACGACGATCAACACAACGTTGCACTAAGACACAAAATCACAAAGGAAAAAACTAAAAATATATGTGACATTACTTATTTGAATGAAAAGGAAAAGAAAAAGAATTTAGAGGAGAGATTTTGGATAAAAAATTAACCCTAAAACCACCCCTCTTTAGAGAATAAAAAATTGGATCAATTGTTTTTAACGTAGAACCAAACACGCCTTAGTTAAGGATGTCATATTATTGCATATGTTTATTCATATGGAAAAATAATGACTTGGAAGTCATATGATTTCAAACAGCCACTTTTGTTATTTCTTAATTCAAGAGTTTGAAATGGTTTGATTGATATTGAGTTCTAAGCTTATCTATGGCGCGAATCTAAAGCAATGACTTGGTATGGAGGTTCATTATAATGCTCAAAATGCATATAGTTCAATAATGTACTTATGTCTTGTATTTCTTCTTGGTTTTTTCCCCTCCTGCTTGTGAGATTTGGTAGCCTGTCACAATTTCTCCCTAATTATGATTTTGCTCGGTGAAGTTTTCTTTTGCGCCAAATCCTTTTCTCTCATCTAAGATACTTCAATGTGCAGCTGGCATGATAGGGTAATGCTATTTGAGCAATATCATTGGAAAAGAGCGATGAAGAAGAACCAGCCATATGAGTTCATGGTATGGTATTTTACATCCCTCTACTACCTATTTTTTATCGAAAGTTTAGCTCAATAAAGCTAAACTATTTTTACCTTGTGCTTTATTTAACTGTATAAAACCTTGTGTTGTTGCAGTGGAACAAGACATGGGACAAGGCACACCGGGATTCATACTACTTCAATTGGCCTATTTACTTCACTTAGGTTGATATCTCTTCCTTTTCTCTCCCCTTGTTGACATTGTATTAATAGTTACTTTGGTTGCAAACCTGGAGAATATTGATGTCCCCCGCCCCTCCTTGTTGTACTATCGACTATGGCATTTTGAATGTGCATTTAAACGGTTATAAGGTTGTGTTTTTTTGTGCTCTGTCTAGTGTCCTCATGAAGCCATCGGATTTCTGAGATGTTGTGCGTGTTAAATGCAAAATTATATAAATTACATATTGTTTAGAAGAAAGTAATGATTGAAACAACATTATATGTTTGACTTGCAAGATAATTCTCAAGGAGTTGAAGGTTGAAATGCTATTAACACGCAGAAGCTAGTTTTGGTCATTAGCTTACATAGTCAGATATAACCTATAACCATCTGCTATTTGTTTGGACTGCTGAATCGACTCGGAGGAAATTGTATGCTAGATTATTTTCAAGTTTTTGAAATGCTTTTTTTGACATTGATTATCACTTTGATTATTTTATTTTTCTATCCTACACATTTTCTATCTTATTTTTTTTTAAAACTCTTTTCACTTTTCTCGGGCATTACTCTTCGCTCCTCTAGTGTAAATTAATAATGCCCATAAAATCTAGAAGTTAAACTCCGAATACACTCAAAATGCAACTACATTCAAGTCTCACACCTAGGCCAATACAAAGTTTAAGATATGTATTATTTTTTTTAAGTAAGTTAATTTTTGGAACCTTTCTTGTTATCTGATCGTATCTGATTAGGAGGGATTGTCAAATGTCACAAGTTTGAAATTGAGCAGCAATTGAATTTGAAGTGGGAGTACTTGCAAGATATTCTGATGTTAAAGTAAGGTTCAGAACAAATGTAAGTATGAGAGGATGAGTGAGTGATTGAATACCTGACTCTCTCAGGTGAGAGGGTATTTATAGCCCTCAACGATGGGCCAAGGTCTTCAGTGATGGGTCACGATAAGGCCCATCAACGAAGACTGTTAGGGTTTACAGAGGGTGTATAGAGTTCAGCACGTGGTCTCCTCCCTAGTCAACTGCTCTGATAAAGCGGAGTTGGACCTGGAGGGCAGGATGATGATGATAGGGACACGTGAGCTATGTTCTCCTAGTGCACATGTGAGAAAATTCCTAACGGTCCTCAGTTTGGGCTGTATGGTTTTATGTTTTTGGTTAAGATGCTAGATTGGATTTCCCCAACAGTGGGACAAGTGTCGGTCCAATCCAGAACATTATCCTACCAAAAACAATTTAGAAATGGAAAAAACAACACAAGTTAACATAAATCTTTGTTATGAAATGCATAAAATATACATAAAATACGTAAATTATATAGAATTTCATTAACATAAATCTAACATTATATTTCAGCAACAAGAGGATATTTCAGCATCTTTAGAATATTGTTGACAGATCTTACAACTGTAACATTCACTTCAATTAAATCCATTGTGTTAAAACGATAAAATGTATTCCACATAATTTTCGTGTTTAGTTCAAACTTGTTGAACTGTTTTTTTCATTTGTTATTAATTAAGGGTGAATGATAATAGAGATTCATAACTCTGGATTGTTTGGGTATCGTAAGAAAGTCTTTAGTATATATTTCACATTGACAAAGGAGTGATTTTTGTGAACCTAAATTCAAGAAGGGACTCTTGTCATTGAAGTAGACAAATAGAACATATAATTATTGAGATATTATGTGATGATTTTGTTAACAACATGAGGGGCCTTTATATTTATACATGTGTTTTGATCAATATGGATCTTAGAAATACTCAATCACGTCTTAGAAGATATTTTATAACTTAAATTTTGGATTAAAGCATTTAAGTTTAGAAAAGCACAAGGAAAAGTTTTTCGTCTGGATTAAATCTTGGTAATAGTTGTTTTGTAGAAATTGTTCTGACAGAATATTTTAGTTAAATAGAAACATTTTTCATTAACATTGAAAATTTTACAACTAATATATATATATATATATATATATATATATATATATATATATATATATATATATATATATATATATATATATATATATATATATATATATATATATATATATATATATATATATATATATATATATATATATATATATATATATATATATATATATATATATATATATATATATATATATATATATATAGGGAGGGAGGGAGAGAGATAGAGAGATATATTTTTGTTCATCCTTGCTAATTATATCTTCAGGTTTACAACGATAGATTTCTGTGGTTAACTAATTGACGGGCCTGAGGAATAGTCACAGTCATATCCAATCGAAAAAGTATGTTATTCAAACGCATTTCAAATAATTGAAGTAAAACTTGACCGGTTGACCATTTCGCTTTTCCAGTGATACGAACATATTTAAGCAATTATATATATATATATATATATATATATATATATATATATATATATATATATATATTAAAATGTATCCATATTACATTGTTGACAATAATAATTCAACATTACAATACAAAAAATTAATCTTCACCTAAATACATTGTTAGATAAAAATTAAAATGTACCAAAACACGGGGCACCACACACTCACTCACGGACACACACTCGCACAAACACACACACGCACTCGCGCACACACACACACACACAAACGCATTTCAAGTAATTGAAGTAAAATTTGACAGGTTGACCCTTTCGCTTTTCCAGCGATACAAACATATTTATGCAATTGTATATATATATATATATATATATATATATATATATATATATATATATATATATATATATATATATATATATATATATATATATATATATATATTCATATTACATTGTTGACAATAATAATTCAACATTACAATACAAAAAATTAATCTCCACCTAAATACATTGTTAGATAAAAACTAAAATGTATCAAAACACGGGTTATCATATACTCATGCACGCACACACACGCACACTCGCACTCACGCATGTTCACACACATACACACGCACGCGCACACGCACATACACACACACACACACACACACACTCGCATGCACTCACGCACGTCCACACACACACACGCGCGCGTGCACGCACACACACACACACACACACTCACGCAAGTTCTCACACAGACACACTCGCACGCACTCACGCATGTTCACACGCACGCACGCACTCACGCACGTTCTCACACAGACGCATGCGCTCACACACATACACCCACGCACGCATGCAGACACGCACCCACACACACACCATGGGTCACCACACACTCATTGTTTACCGTAAAAAATGGTAAACAACCGCTGATCTTCCAAAATGTTACTTATTTGGTGACTCGTAGGATCAATCAGGTTGATCCTAAGACATGGTTGATTTTCTGGAGTTTGACTAACCCTAATGGTGATTAATGTCAGTAAAGTAAAGACACTTTAAGTAAATTGCATGGAGAAAAGCTTGATAGAATAAATAAAAAGCGTTAAGGAATTGTTGAATAAAAAGGCTTCGACGGAAGTAAATAAATGAACAACGATAAATTGCTTGAATATAAAAGACTTTGATTAATTTAAATGGTGTTTCACACATACATTCTCAATGATTTTTTCTCTCACGCTGGGTACTTGAATCTGAATGAGTAACTTGTATAAAATGATGAACACACCCGAAAACTACGTGAACAACTAGTATTTATACTAAAAAACTCCTAAGTAACCGCTGGGCAGTTACACTGCTTCGAGATGACGCCACATGGCACGCTCACAACCTTCGACGCTTATGTTCTCGACACGTTCCACTTGGTAACTGCTGGGAACCGTTTTCCCTCCAACAATTCAAATCTCAAACCGTTCGACCTTGGGCATCAGGTACCTTTGTCGAGAGGTTCCTTCGACGTCGAAGACAACAAGATTCCAACTTAAAGGAAATTCTCTAAGTATCTTGTCATTCTTTGATGAGCCTTCGACATGATCAGCTGGTCGAAGCCTTCTTATGTAGGAAACTCTTTTGACTCATAATTAATGGTCTATATGATAATAAATATGGGTGTCGAATTTAAGAGCCAACAAATTGCCCCCCAAGAATGTCTTATTTCGACACCAAAAGAAAAAGGCATTCTTTGATATTCCATTCGACACCTGTCCTTCATTCTCAGCCACAAATTAGTTTGTGTGCTTTTCGCCTCCTACCAACCAACTGACAATCTCAAAAAGTCATCATTTCACCTGTTCCCAAGACGTCACTTTAGTAAGGCATTTAGCACGCACGATGTCTTTTCAAATGTTGTCATCATGACTATTTCCCGAAATTGAGGACGCACGCTGCACCGTTTCCGTTCTTCAGAACGGCTACATCACCAAATGAGCGCCACGTGCCCACTCTTGTCTGAGACATTAAATGACCTCGAGTCTTGTGATTTTTCAATCACTATAAATAGCACTTAGTGCCCCTTGTTGGACTCTTTACGCTTTCTTTCATCCAAGCCTTAAGTCGAACAAAATTTCCTGCAAGCAAACCTTTGTTTCTTCCTCTCCAAACCCAGAAATCTTTGTTCTTCATCCATCTTCATCTCAAACCAAAAAATGGCCTCACGTTCTCGTGCTTCCAATGTCCCCAGATCTAGCACTCCCTCTCAAACTACTCAACCGAAAATCTTCTCAACCGCTCCGATAGTTAACTCCATGGGAATGCGAAGGGTTCCTGAACCCATGGGAGATGCTGAGCGTGAAACTTATGGTCCTCAACTGCTGATTCCTGTTGGCTATTCCAACCAGGTTTTTGCTATGTCTGGCCCCCTTTCTACATGCATTGCTAACCCAACGAAAATCGAGGGTTTCTTCCCCGTGCATGAGGCACTCAAGCCCATTGGGTGCTCCAAGAAGGCGACAGATGATACCGAAGATCCTACAAAAGAGAAAATAGATCTTCGATTCTTTAACAGGGGGGTTAGGGCTTTTAGGTCTAGCCCTAACCTTACACCAGAATACAACGCTTGGCTCAACAAGATGGAGAAGTTCCAGGCTTCGATTTGG